TTTTGGAGAGATCCCTGACAGTAGATTTGCCCAATGCAATACTTCTCTTTATCTCCTGACTGCTGGTATCAAGAGTGTTGGTTGTTGACCAAGAAGTTATTGACAGTTTAAATCCTTTCTCCATCTATTGTAATGCTGCCTGTTGGCCCATGGTGAGAATCTTTGTGTTTTTTATATTGAGAAGTAATTCATATTGAAGGCTCAGTAAAAAATCCTTTTCTGAGAGAGAAATAATAGTAGGTAGTACCCAATAAAATTCTTTTTTGAGTGAGACATGTTGCTGTTGGTGCCATCAAGTTGAGTATGATTCAAAGTGACCCTATGAACAACAGATCTTAACCCTGTTTTATCCTGTACCATCTTAATCATCTCTCATAGCCTTGCTTACATTGCTGAGGTCATGGTGTCAATCCATCTCATCGAGGGTCTTCCTCTCTTTCACTGACTTTCCACCTTTCCAAGAATAATGTTCCTCTTCAAGTAATAGCCTACCTCTTCTAGCAATATCTCCAAAGTGTGTGAGATGAAGCTTTTTCATCTTTGCCTCAAAGGTGCATTCTGGCTACACCTTCTCTAGGACATCTCTCTGTGTTCTTTTGGCATTCCATGAAATAGTCACTATTCCTCTCCAACACCACAGCTCAAAGGTATCAATTCTTCTTCTGTTATTTTTATTCACTGTCCAGCTCTCAGATGTATAGTAAGTGACTTAAAAACTATGCCCTGAATCAGGTGTACCTTAGTCTTCAAACTGACATCATTGCACCTCATTAATTTGAGAGATTCCTGACAGCAGACTTGCCCAATGAAGTATGTCTCCTGACCTCCTGACTACTGTTTCCAAGGGTGTTGATTATGAGTCCAAGTGAGATGAAATATTTGTTAACTTCAATATTTTCTCCATCTAGAGGCTGGCCAGTTATTGAGATTGCTATTATAGTACTGCTGGAGCCAGTCATTATTTTTAACCTCCTTGGAGTTTACGTCATTTAAGAGAGTGAAAAAGGCTGGAAAAGAGATTAGCATTAGAGAGACTGATTGTGCCTTAAATTCTTTCTCTGTAGAATCACCCTCTACGGTTCCAGAATAAACTTCATTCCCACAGGATATATTTCCTAGAGGGGTTAAGGGAGTAATTGGACAATTAGTCCAAGTTCAATATGTATATTTGGATGAAAATTTTAAGTTCTGGTCTCTACCCTCTAGAGTTCTCACCCTAGCTTGGTATATGAGCCAATTCGTTGAACAAAAATGAGAGTCTGCACTTCTAGGACTTTGGGAACAAATATTTGCGCCCCTTAAAGAAAATCTCAGGACACACTTGCCCACCAAACGTTGCATCATAAACTCAGACGAGGTCAGTATTGGGATGGAAGCATTATTTTTTCTCACTAATGTCTAAGTTTATATGTAAGTATAGAAGAGGAAATATAAGGAAGCAACTTTTAAAATTGTTGTTTTATGTGCCATCGAGTTGCCTGCAACCCATAGCAACCCTATGTACAGCAGGTCTGTGTTCTACTGTACACAGGGTTTTCGAAGGGAGGAGAAAAAGTTTAGAGAAAAATGAAAAGTGAGAATAGAAAGATGGAATGACAGAAGATTGAGAGATACAGAGGCAGAATGTGAGGACTGAGAGGAAACACAAGAGAAAATGAAAGACAAAATGAGGTGATGGACAGGAAGATAGAAAGACGAAGAAATAATGAGAAGTGGGCCAAGTGATGCGAATACTGGAAGGTGAGGGGAAAAGGTGAATGAAGAGGAACCAATGAAGGGAGGAAAATGTAGAAGGTTGGGATCAATATACAAAATGATCAGAATCATTTCTTTACACATTTTGGTGAATATGTATCTTCAGCCTATGCTCATAGCTCAAGAAAGTATATCTAGATATTGATAGATACACTTTATCTATATTTATATATATACTTTATATAAGGTGCATACTATATAATAGGTATATATACTACTTCTATTCATAGAAACTTCTTGTCCAACAGATCAAAACCCTGCCTAATCCTTTTCTATCCTCAAAGTTTCAGTTTTGTGTACGGCCATTTTGTCAATTAATCACATTGAGGATCTTCCTCCCTTTAAGTAATTAATCTATCTTTCCAAACACAATGTCCTTTTCCAACATGCCAGAATTATGCAAGACAAAGTCTCACAATCTTTTCTCCTAAGAAACTCTCTGGTTATACTTGTTCAGTGAAAACTTTATTATTTATAGAGGTCACTGCTAGTTGCCCTCCTGACTTTGGGTTGGAGTTCTGAATCACTGCTTGGGCTGGCACTTGGGTATCTGGTAAATCATCCAGCTCTTTAGCTTCTGTGTATGTAAGCTACATCTGTGAGAACAAACCTCTCCTGAATTTTTTATTCCATTTACATCCATAGACGATGCCTATCTGCCTGTATGAATGTTACTTACCCAGTATAATGATGCATTCATTTCCCCCTCTGTGTTTTGACACTCTAATGTTTACTAGCAATTCACAATCCAAATTCCATGCTTCCCCCCCCCACAAGATATCAAAACCTATAGTTGAGCAAATAAACTTACAGAATTAATTTCTCCTGGATGTAAAAAGAATGTAAATTCCCCTGCTTCCTCTTTGGGTGTATGTATATTTTGTCTTTAATTGTGGCAGAAGTAGTATCGCTGTTTATTGGTATTAATCTACGAGAAAGAAAAGGTATTAGGAATTCTGAATATACATTTATTGGAAGCAGGAGTGGCATCCACTTCCTAAACAATATTCCTCCAGAAACTCTATGAACTTTGATAAATATTGATAGTTGTAGAGGGGCTTCAGGCTTTTTCTTCATAGGGTCATTATGAGTTGTACTTGACTCAAACACAGTCAATCAACAACAACAACAAAATTCTTTACAATAGCCATTTTGTTGTGTGCCTTCAAGTCAGAACTGACTCATAGCTGACCCTCTAGTGAGTTTTTAGAATCAATGAGTTGTGTGGAAAGAGATTACCCATTCTTCTACCACATAGAATACGTGAGAATATGTAAGAATAGAATTACTATTGCTTGAAGATCTTCAACTTTTAAGAAATCTTCTATGGGACAAAAATATCATTATCAAACTATGTTTGTGAGCCAAGTCTATCCTACCCAAAAGCTTAGTCTTTTTCCCTAAGGTCTGGCGCTGCTCTGATCCTTGAGTATCACTAGGAAAAGCCAGAAGCCTAGCATTTTTAAAACACTGTATCATTTGTCAGTCTCAATATATATGTTAGGCTGAGATTGTGTTTAGAATTTGTAGGATGTGTATGCAGTAATATTACAAACTAGAATATTTTTAAACCTGGCTTGTCTTCTATGAATTTTTTTTATCCTGTCCAAAATCCTTTCTGCTGAGTAGGAATCTTCTCTAATCCTCAGACTTCTTATCCAAAGAGCAGCGGTCATTGAGATTTTGGAAAATGGGTGTTCCATAACTTCCTTTGTTATTAGCAACAAACACTTTTTTCAAGGGAATAGTACCTTAAGTTCCCTACTGATTTCTGATTCTGATATATTACGTTATTGTCACTGCTATAGCAAATTACCAAAACCTCAGTATTTTAAGACATTACATCAAGATTGAGAGAGTAGTGGAAAAGGAATTGTAAGTGTTGAAGAGGAACAAATATTTCAGGACCTTATTCTATATCTCTTAAGACCAATAGTAACTACTTGAGAGCTTTTGAACTGGAGAAGGCATTTTGAAATTTAGGCTTTTAAAATAGGTTCCTTGGCTATATTGTTGTTTGCCGCTGAGTCAGAACCAACTCATAGTTGATTCTCTAGCAAGTTTTCAGAGTCATTAAATGGCAGGGGAGGAGACTGCTAATCCTTCTGTGGTGCAGCTAGTGGATTCAAACTGCATACCTTTGGGATTGCAGCACAGCTTCTTACTACTAGGCCACCAGAGTTCCCTGTTTGGCTATCATGGGGAGAATAGATTGGAAAATTTCAGAGTTTCTTAGAGACCATCTGCTGATATATAAATTTATCTCATCAATAAATGAATGGATAGAGAAGCTCTGGTATATTCACACAATGGAATACTAGGCAGCATTGAAAAACAAGGAACTCATTAAATATTATGCAAAAAGGGTGACCCTGGAGGACACTATGCTGAGTGAAATATCTCAGTCACAAAAGGAAAAATATTGCATAGGGTGACTGTTGTAAAACAGGACTGACATCGGGGTTGAGGGAAGACAGTAAAGGAGGGGAGGAATGATGTATACTGCATTGAAACAGATGAGGGAGAGAACTGTTTAAAAGGGACATATGAATGGGTATTCTTGTCATTACAGAAGTCCAGAGTGAAGGCTGAATAGTAGAGTGGACTTGGAGGGAGGGCTTGCATAAAAATGAGAGAGTTTTTCTTTTCAAGAAGAGTGAATTGGGGGAGGGGGAGTGGATGGGCAGGGAGAAAAGTGCAACAATGAATGACTGGAAACCCTAAGTCTCTGTAAACTTCCATTAAAATTAATTTTTAAAAAAAATATGCATACTGATGTGTGTTCTTTGAGAAATTAATACTATTATTTACATCCCATATTTTGGAGACATGTACTTCACCTCAGAAATTTAACAGTGGATGTTGAAATCAAATCTTTCAGTAGTTTCTGTGTCATGGTTGATGATAAGGGGGCTATGACTTGGGTGAGATACAATTTTCCGCAGTCTGGCTCTCAGTGCCAAAGACACAGACTTCTATTTTGGTAGTCAGTGAACCAAAATAGGTTGGCTCCTGTTAACATTTGCCTCATCAATTAGATGATGATGATGATTGTTATTATTATTATTATTATTATTATTATTATTTCTCTTACATACCAGTATACAGGAAAATATGAGAAAGATATTCATTTTCTCACTTTCTGAAATGGAACACATATTTTGTTACTGTAACTGCTAAAATAATAATTTCAGAGGTTTTCATATTCTCAACCATTTTGTAACCTCAGCAGAGAGAAGAGCAGCATGAGGTGGGAGAACCAGAGCACTGTGTCTGAATTCCTCCTGCTGGGGCTCCCCATCCGGCCAGAGCAGCAGGGCGTGTTCTTTGCCCTGTTCCTGGGCATGTACCTCACCACGGTGCTGGGGAACCTGCTCATCATCCTGCTCATCAGGCTGGACTCTCGCCTCCACACCCCCATGTACTTCTTCCTCAGCCACTTGGCCCTCACTGATGTGTCCTTTTCATCTGTCACTGTCCCAAAGATGTTAATAAACATACAGTCTGGAGATCAATCCATCCCCTATTCAGGGTGCATAGCACAGATGTATTTTTTCATATTTTTTACAGACCTGGACAATTTCCTTCTCACCTCAATGGCATATGATCGGTATGTGGCCATCTGTCACCCCCTCCATTACACCACCATCATGAGGCAAGAGTTGTGTACCCTATTAGTGGCTATGTCTTGGATCCTCTCCTGTGCCAGCGCCCTGTCTCACACACTCCTCCTGGCTCGTTTGTCCTTCTGTGATGATAACATCATATCTCACTTCTTCTGTGACCTTGCAGCCCTGCTCAAGCTGTCTTGCTCAGATATCTCCCTTAATGAGATGATCATTTTCACAGTGGGAGTGGCAGTCATCACTATCCCATTACTATGCATCCTTATCTCTTATGGCCACATAGGAACCACCATCATGAAGGTCCCATCTACCAAAGGGGTCTGCAAAGCCTTATCCACCTGTGGCTCCCACCTTTCTGTCGTGTCTCTATATTATGGAACAATTATTGGAGTATATTTTTTCCCCTCATCCAACAAGTCCAATGGCAAGGACATAATCGCTTCTGTGATGTACACAGTAGTCACTCCTTTGCTAAACCCTTTCATTTATAGCCTAAGGAACAGGGACATAAAAGGTGCCCTGGAGAAACTTTTTGATAAGGCAACAATCTCTTCTTAATGACATTTAGCTCTGCTTAATAGACATATGTATTCACATATCCCGAGAATGGACTTCTAATTCCACTCAGCATGGAATAAATGCTTAGTAAAAATTTTATTATTTGAATTCAGTTCTATTCTATTCTAGTCATTTTCTCTACTCCTTACAACTTCTCAATGTAAACTGATTTCTGAGTTGACACTGTCAGTTATTATCTTATTAAATTCAGAATTATGTAGGTAATATAATTTATGTTCCTTCCATTGTTACCAGGAAATTTGTTACCTCTTGTGAATGTTTAGAAGATTCTCACTAATGAGGGTCATTGGCTTTGAAAGGTCATAGAATTGTGAATTTGTAACGTATCTCTTTTATTTTTCTCATATTTTTGGTTGGTGGTGATGACCAGGAAAGAAATGTTAAACGTTAAACTTTATACAATTATTTCTTGCTATCTAGAAAATTACCTACTGTTATGGGTTCAGCTGCTTCATTCAAGGATTTTAGGCCTCTTCCTATTTTTAGAACACTAATCATCCTACTTTGTCACAATCCCAAAGATATGCGGTTCAAATCTACCAGCTGCTCTGCAGGAAAAAAAAAGAGCAATCTCCTCTTAGGCGATTAGCTGTCTCTGAAAACCCACTGGAGGGTCAGCTATGAATAGGTTCTGACTCAATGGTAAATAACAACCAGAGTCATCCTCCTAGAGAGCTCTAGCAGTCTGATAGGTAAGGAGATGCTGTGAGCCCAAAGGCCCCATGTTTTATGAAAGAAAGATGAGTAATCTCTTCCTATGCTGTTTACAGTATCTGAAAATCTGCTCCAAGGTCAGCTATGAGCGAATAATCTTTCCAAGAGTAGATAAATAATAACATCCAAAAATTAAGATTTCCAAATCTTACAGTTTAGCTTGGACCAATAAAAGCTAGACTTATAATTTCAACTCTAAGATATGTACGTTTTGAAAGGCTAAATTCTTTAGGTGAATGGAAAGTGGATGAAGGAAGAGGGGATCTATTAAAGAATTAGATTCCCTTAGCTTTTTTCAGAAAAAAACATCAACTCATTAGGTTTGGTGCGTTATTATCTTTGAATTCGGGGAAGCTTTTTCAAACAAAAACTTAGAAATAAAATCAAGAGAGACTTCAGACATAAAGTTCCATTTATTTGCTATTAAAGGGGAAAAGTTGGAATTACTGCCAGAAAAAGAATCAAACTTTGCTTATAGATTTTTCTCATTCAATAGCCATTTAGCAAGTTCTCAATCTATGCTGTGCAGTGTGTCCAGCTCTGGTCATACAGACGTAGGCAGATGCATGGCCTATATGGGGGTGGGGAGTATAAAAGTGCTGTAATACAGTAATACTAATAACTGTGCTTATTATCGGTGATTATGTGTGTCAGGGACTATATGAAAAGCCTTGCCAAACAATATTCTCCCCTTTAGTCTTCATATTAACCTTATAAAGCATATACTAATTGTCTGTTTCATACTTGAGAAAATGGATATTTAGAGACAATAACATAAGAATAATAAATGGTAGTAGACAATATAGATACAGTGAATATTGTACGGATATTAGCAAAAGCTTTCCATGGGAAGTCATTGTTCAGCAAGGTGCCCTGGTGGGACAGTGGAAAAAGCTCAACTGCTGACAGGAAGGTTAGCAGTTGGAAGTTACCAGCCACACTGAGAGGAAGAGGCCCTTGTGTGCCTCTGTAGCCTTCTCACAGCGTTAGGAACCCTATGTGCTATAGTCCAAATTCACTCAGCTCAGGGGCAGTATATAGTAATCTATCCGACTGTTCAAAAATGCCCAGGATTAATGTCATCAATGACATTTACATTTGCTGGATCTTAAGTAGTTTGATGCTATAAAACATGTTCTTCACATGATCAGATCTTTTTTCGAAGAAGTTCAGAAATTTAAAAACACATTTTAAACTAGATGAAGTCTCAGAACCAAACTCTAGTAGGAGGACGTGGGCAGCCAGTAGACACTTAGGTCAGACGAAGGTAAGGAAGCAAAATACTATAACCTTGATTTTAAAAAATAAAAAATAATATTTCAAAAACTCTTGGAAAGAGAAGAAATCCCATGCTCCAAGATGCATCATTTAAAGAAGGAAATCTGCAACTAATCTACACTGCTGGGCCTACTGTTCTCTGAAGGCAAATAAAAACTGAAGGTTTCAGAATTTATTCTTCTTGTTTGCTTCTGCTGAGTCTATTTAGGGTTAGTCCCTCTCCTCTCATTGCCAACAAGTCAGAACAGAGCTTCCATTGGATTTCTGAGGCTGTAAATGGCACAGAAGGAGATTCCTCATCTTTCTCCAGAGGAACCTGTTGCATTTGGGTGTGGCTTTTGGGTTAGCAAAAAAATGCCCTATGGTCTAGGCCACTAGTGCTTCCTGAGGTTAGCCTCTATCAAGCCTTCAAAGGATGATCTGCATTGAACCTTTTTGACTGACCAAGAGCAAAGAAAGCTTGAGTGCTAACCTCTAACTCATAAATCTGGAAAATGAGGCCTTCAGCTTGGAAATCTAAATAGTGAATTTCGATCTTCCAGAGGGGAAATACGTTATCAAAGCTGCATCTCCCGGAATGTAACATAAGCTCCAGCTTTTATTTGTCTCCATTAGTGCTGGAAACTAAACAGAGCCCACACCCCACCCCTACCCTACTCCCATAATTTTGATGATGTATAAAAACCTAGGATGAAACAGACACAAAAATGGGAATTTTGCCTTGTTCTTTTCTCCATCACCTGCCAAAACAGTTCCCAGAATGTACTAGGTGTTCAGTAAATATTTTTTGAATGAATGAAGCTCAGAGAAAAAAAATTTTTTTAATGAGAAAGGGATGAAGAATGATGACAACAACAGTAGTAATATTTATGAAAAGCTCAAACCTTCTTATTAAACACAAAAACTGATTGCTGTTGAGTTTGAACTGACTCATAATTGACCCATCAGTGGGTTTTCAGAGGCTGTAAGTCCCGTGAGAGGAGATTTCCTATCTTCCTCCAGCGGAGTAGCTGGTGGGTTTGAACTCCTTGCTTTGGCGTGGTAGCACAACTCCTTAGACACTAGGGCAACAGAGCTCATATCTCATTATTAAACAGAGATCATTTTCTCCACTTCATACATGAGAAAACTAAGGCCTAGCCAGGTTAGGTAACTGGCTAATATATTATTATTACTATTACTATGGCTAATACATGGCAGATTCAGAGCCCATATATTTTCTTTAATAATTTTTGTCACTATATCTAAGAAGATAAAATCCTCCTGAGACTAAGAAGCCTCGTTGAGGCCCCTTTCATATCCTTGTTTCTTAGGCTATAGATAAAGGGGTTCAGCATGGGAGTCACCTCTGTATACATTGCACCTGCTGCAATGTCTTCTCTTCTGAGGCAACAGGAAGACACAAGTAGGCAATGGAGAGGGTCCCTAGAAGACACAGAGATGGCAGCTGCAGGTGGAAAAGGCCCTGTACCCCCTCCAGATGTTTGAATTCTTAGGGTGGCTGACACAATGTGGATGTAGGAGATGACAAGGCATACAAAGGGGACAGTAAGTACTGTCTCTCCTAAAGAAAAATACACCAGCTCATTGATCTAGGTGATCTAGGTGTCAGAACACGACAGCTTCAGAACAGTTATGTCACAGAAAACGTGAGGCATCTCTCCAACAGCACAGAAAGACAGCCAATTCAAGAGGGCATGAGTCTAAGCAATGATGTTAGTAAGGACACAACACAAGCAGCTGACACACCTGTGGAGTAGTGGAGAGGATGACAAAGGGCCACTTAGTGGTCGTGTGCCATGACAGCTAGGAAGAAGGGGTCCAGGGCACCAAACATCTGACAGAAATATATCTGAGCAAGACAAGTGGTATAGGAGATGGTATGATGTTTAGTCTGTGCATTCACCAGCATGTTGGTCACTGTGGACAATGTCAAATGCATATCAACAAAAAAAAGGTTGGTCGAGAAGAAGCACATGGGGTCTGGAGGTGCACATCAGAGGCTATGGTTAGGGTCGTGAGCACATTCCCAGTCAAGGGATAAATACATACTCGGAAAAATTATGGAAAGCAACTACTGTTTCTCAGGTAATGCAGGTATTCCATGGAGGAAGATTCAGAAACACCAGAATGATTATTCCCATTCCATGAAGGAATTTTTCTTGTACTTTTCAGAGAGGAGCAAACTAGGGGGGAGGGTTGGGCAGGGAGAAAAGTGCGACAATGAATGAATGGAAATCCAAAAATCTCTGTAAATGTTAAATAAGATATTAAACAAAGGAAAAATTATTTCCTTCAAGAACAAAAAAGAAACAAAAGTATCTCCTTGTGGTTTTGCACAGGGTTTTGGTTTTTATTTTATTTTTTTTTAAAACAACAAACCAACTTGAAAATTCTTGGGACTTTCCTTCAACATTTAAGCTCATTTTCAGTATGATTAAAGGTCAGTCCAAGCTGAATGTGTAAGGTCTTAGGTACCATGAGCTTGTGTATGGTTTTATCTATTCCCCCATATATGCTGTACTTTTTAAAAATTTTTTTTTTATTTATGCTGTACTTTTAAAGAGTAATTATTTCTTCTTTAAGTGTTAGTAATTTCAATAAATTCTGCAACCACATAGCTTAGTCTAGTCGACAGACTACTACAACCTCAAAGATGATGCCTCTCTGATAGTTTGACTCCATTAGCAGCTCTACAGGAGAAAAATGAAAAATCTCCTCTTGTGTCATTTATAGCCTCAGAAATCCAATGAAGAATCAGCTGTGAGTTAGTTCTAAGTCACTGGAAAGGAGTTTGAGGTGTTTTTTTTTAAATTTTGGGTTTTCTAAGGATGGTCATAATCTTTGGGTATTGCACTCATCCCATTCTACATAAGCTCTGTGACATATCGGCTCAGAAGGAGTCACATGATTCCTTCAGTCAGCATCTGAATAGACCAAGGAATTTTGAATGCAAATGCAAATTTGGAAGACCTATACAGTTCGAC